CAATAAATATATATTAAAAAACAAACAAAAAATGAATACCCTTCAACATTTCATGTAGTACTGGTTTGGTGATGATCTCCTTTTGCCTTTTCTTGTCTGTGAAGCTGTTTATCTGACCTTCAATTCTAAATGATAGCTTTGCTGGGTAGAGTAATCTTGGTTATAGTTCCTTGCTATTTATCACTTTGAATATTTCTTGCCACTCCCTTTGGCCTGCAAAGTTTCTGTTGATAAATCAGCTGACAGGCGTATGAGTACTCCCTTGTAGGTAACTGACTGCTTTTCTCTTGCTGCTTTTAAGATTCTCTCTTTGTCTTTAGCTCTTGGCATTTCAGTTATTATTTTTTTAAAGGAATGGGTATTTAATTTTTTTGTTTGTTTTGTTAATCCTCACCCAAGGATATTTTTCCATTGATTTTTAGAGAGTGGAAGAGAGAGGGGGAGAGAGAGAGAAATATCAATGTCAGAGAAACACTTAGATTGGTTACCTCCTGCGCAAGCCCTGACTAGGGCCCAGACCAGGGAGGAGCCTGCAACCAAGATATGTGCCCTTGACTTGAATGGAACCCGGGACCCTTCAGTCCACAGGCTGATGCTCTATTCACTGAGCCAAACTGGCTAGGGCTTGGCATTTTTTTCTTCCTTTTATGGGGGCAGGGGAGGGGAGCATGGAGCAAGGCTGCCCCAGAGGCGGCGGACCTGTTGCAAAGCAGTGATGGTGGTGGCGGGACGACGCAGGTCCGCACAGCACTCCCCACAGCCAGGGCACCTCAGAGCCTGGGCCCAACCCTGCCGGGCTCCAGACGCGGTTTTGTCTCCTCTATGCTCTTGGCCGCATGCTGCCTCCTCCTCTCTGAAACCAATTAACCCGGGCTAGGGCTTGGCATTTTAATTATGATGTGTCTTTGTGTGGTCCTCTTTGGGTTCCTCTTGTTTGGGACTCTCTGTGCTTCCTGGACTTATAAGTGTACACGTGATTTTCAAAAATTAATTCTATAGTATATCTATATATATAAAAGCCTAAGCGACTGTTACTACTGGCCGGCTGGTCGCTATGACGTGCACTGACCACCAGGGGGCAGACGCTCAACGCAGGCGCTTCCCCCTGGTGGCCAGTGTGCTCCCACAGCCAACCTCCCATGGTCCCTCCCCCACGCCAGCTGGCCCCGATCCAGACTGGGTGAGGGACCCCACCCATGTACAAATTCGTGCACCGGGCCTCTAGTAGGCTAATAATTAGCCTAACATGTCTACCCCTAATAAACCAGCCTAATGATAACAGCCTAAACCTATCAATAGTATTCTTTTCCAATTCTCTATCTACCCTACTACTTAGACTATCCACCTGACTATTACCACTTTGATTGTTGCTAGTCAATTTCACCTGGCCAAAGAAACTTAAACGGGAAAAAATTATTATTATACTATTATATTCTCCAAATGTTCTTGATCATAACATTTTCAGCTACAGAATTTTACTTTACATCGTATTTGAAGCCACACTAGTCCCCATTCTTATTGTTATTACCCACTGAGGGCGGCAGACTGAGTGACTTAATGCATGAATTTATTTCTTATTTTACACTCCAGTAGGGTCACTACCTTTACTAATCACATTAACTTACATTCAAAATACTGTAGGCTCACTAAAATTTCTGTTGACCCAATATTGAGTTAAACCATTAGTATCTTCTTTTTTAAATATATATTTTATTGATTTTTTTTTTTTTTTTTACAAAGAGGAAGGGAGAGGGATAGAGAGTTAGAAACATCAACGAGAGAGAAACATCAATCAGCTGCCTCCTGCACACCCCCTACTGGGGATGTGCCCGCAACCAAGGTACACACCCTTGACCGAATCAAACCTGGGACCCTTCAGTATTCAGGCCAACGCTCTATCCACTGAGCCAAACCGGTTAGGGCCCATTAGTATCTTCTTGAGGTAATACATTATTGTGACTAGCGTACATGATAGCTTTTATAGTAAAGATACCTTTATATGATCTCCATCTCTGACTGCCTGAAGCACATGTTGAAGCCCCTATTTCATGTTCTATAGTATTAGCAGCTGTAATGCTAAAGTTAGGATGATACAGAGGACTATGAATTACTATATTATTAAATCATGTTACTAATTTCATAGCATACCCTTTCTTAATATTATCTTTATGGGGTATACTATTTCTTTCACCAGGTAAGGGAAGTTTTCTGTCATTATTTCTTCAAATAGGTTTTCAATGTCTTGCGCTTTTTCTTTTTCTGGAACCCCCATAATGCGAATGTTGGTATGGTTGAAGTTGTCCCAGAGGCTTCTTACACTATCTTCATATTTTTGGATATTTTTTTTTCTTTTTGCTCTTCTGATTGGGTGTTTTTTGCTTCCTCATATTCCAAATCCTTGATTGAATTCTCAGAATCCTCTACTTTCCTGTTGAATCCCTGTAAATTATTCTTTATTTCAGTTAGTGTATGCTTAATTTCTGACTGGTCTTTTTTTATGTCTTTGACAGTCTCCCTGAGATCTTTCAAAGTCTCACTAAGTTCCTTGAAGCTCTCATTAAGTCTCTTAAAGCTCTCATTAAGATCCTTGAGTAATCTTATAACCATTGCTTTGAACTTTGTATCCAGTAGTTTGCTTGCTTCCATTTCTTTCATTTATAACATGTTTCTTTGTCTCCCCATTTTGGCTTCTTCCCTGTGTTTGTTTCTGTGTATTAGGTAGAGCTGTTGTTTCCTGGAATTGGTAGAGTGGCCTTGTGTAATAGGTGTCCTGTAGGGCCCAGTGTCTCAGCCTTCCCGGTCATCTGAGCTGAGCACTCTAGGTGTGGCCCTGTGTGGTCTGTGTGCACAGTCTTGTTGTAGTTGAGCCTGGGAGGAATTGGCCTCCAGGCCAATTAGCTGTGAGGACCAGCTGCGTCTGCAGTGGAAGAGCTGCTATGCAGGAGACACCTCTGTGGAGCAGGACTTCCTTCAGTGGGGTGTTGATGCTCACTTTGTCTGCCCCTTGAGTGTGTCACTGTTGGATGTGTAGCGTTGTAACCTGGTATGGTCTGAAGCTGTCCACTGGGTCACTGGCTCTGGGGCTTCCCAGGAGGTGCAAAGTCAGCCACTGGCTGGGGCCACCCGACAGGAGCTACAGTGAGATCTGCAAATGGCTGCTATTTGTATTGGGCTAGGAAGTGCTCAGGCGCGGTCCAGCTGTGAGGCAAGGCAGGCTGGTGCTAGTGCTGGGTCTTGGGCCTTTTATTGATAGGTTTGGGGTAAGCTGCCCCCAGCTGCTGCTTGTTTAAGAGAATTTAGCAAAGTCTGAAGCCTGAGCCCAGACAGGCCATTCATATGGTAAAGCAACTGCAAACAGCTTGGGAGGGGGCTGCAAATTGGATGGGGCAGGGTCTCAGGGAATCATCAGGGTGGAGCAAACAGTGTGTTTCAGGCTGATGGAGACTCAGATATGGCTGCCAGTCAGCTCTGCGATGGGGGAGGTTCCAGCACAGGAACAATGACCCCGGCAAGCACCCCTGTCTGGGAGAAAGCTGCCCCCGAGTTTCTGCCCTGATGCCAGACCAGTTTCTCCCTGTATGTCCCTGGATTCCCCCAAAGCCGCTGCCCAGCGCTGGAGCTCAGAGGAATTGGGACCCCGTAAGTTTATGTGCAGGCCCTTTAAGAGGAACACCTGGGACTCGACTCCAGCAGCCTCCATGTCACTCAGGGATAATCCCCCACTAGTTTTTACAGCCTAAAGTTATGGGGACTTATTTTCCCAGCTCTGGAACCCTGGGCTAGGGGTCTGGTGTGGGGCTGGGACCCCCTGCTTCTCACGGGAGGCCTTGGAGATATCCCTCCCAATTAAAGAAATATCACATGTGGGTGACAGACCAGCCTGTTCCATGCCTTGACTCCTTCTACCAGTCTCAGTGCGCTTTCTTCTTTACTTTTCTAGTTGTAGGACTTCCATGCAGCTGGATTTCAGGTGGTTCTGAATGATGGTTGTTCTGTATTTTAGTTGTAATTTTGATGTAGTTGTGGGACACGGTGAGTACCAGGGTTTACCTACACTGCCATCTTGGTTCTCCCGCTAGTCATATTTTAACTCTTAGATGGTAGTCAGGTTTATTTTCAACTTTAACTATGTTTCTTACTACAAGTACAAGAAAGTTTTCTCCAATAGGTTTTAGGTTTTCTCTTTCTATAATACCACTTAGATGAAGTATCTTACATTCCCTAGCATCTGTAGTAAATCACCTATGTGGCTTTGTCCCTCCCCCCAATACTATATGTTAGAGAGAAAGGTGAGAATCACAAGAAACATTTTTATAGTGCTTATCCCATGCCAGGCACTGTCCAACAGCTTTACATATGTTAAATCCATCTTCATGACAACCCTATGAGGTAGGTAGGGACACAGATGAAGAAGCTGAGATTCTTAGAAGTTAAATACCCGCCCCAAATTATAAAGGTAGTAAGTGGTAGAGCTGAGATTTGAACCCCAGGGTTGGATTGCAGCATATGTGCTCTTCACCATTCTGTTTTGATCTTAAGTCTCCTTGTCTATAAAACAGGACCAGTTGTGGCTCCTGCACCATAAGTTTGTTCTGAGGATCAAATGAGTTCATGGAGGTCACAGAACATTTTAAGTAAAAAGGACTGTAGTGACAGCAAGGATGTGTTACATGTTCTCATAGTTGCATCTATCTGCTATGTTTGGATTCTAAGGGACCAGGTGATTTATCCAGTCACTACATGCAGTATGCTCTCCCCCATATCCTCCCCTCAGGTCTTGTTTGTGGGAACCTGCATCCAGCACATAGTTAGTGCTGCATCAGGTGGTCACATGTTGCCTCTTTTCCCTTTGAATATATGAGGATGGGGGAAGTATAGGTTTGGGTTGTGTTTGGTGAGGGACAGGTGAGGTCTGCAATCTCTGATGAGAGTGCCTCAAGCAGGACATAGCTCTCTGGGGCTCGGCAATCAAGGAAGCTGCTTCCCTTCCTTCTTCCTAAATTGCCAATCCTCTTGCAGGGAGAAAGGGAGGCCACAAAGGCCGGGCACGGCAATACACAAGCCCCGAAGAGATTGACGCACAGCTCCAAGCTGAAAAGCAGAAGGCCAGGGTGAGTACATGCCTGTCCATGGCATTGTGTCCCAGGGTGGTGCTCTGCCTCTGGCACCCAGATAGTCCTGGCAAGGACCACCCATTCTCAGGAAGAAGCCTACACCTGGAATCTGGGGGAACAGCAAGGAGCAGGCATGAGTCTCAGAACAACCAATGCTGGCCATCCTCTGATTGGATCAATTAGAACTTTGTTCAGTCAGCAACAGTTGCCTTAGGGAGTCTCTGTTCTTGTTCCTGTGTTCCCACCTTCCAAGGGTTCTCCCTTTGCCAGGCTCTAGGTTGAGCTCCCAGCACCACCCCTTGTCTGTTCCAGCCATGCAGGACTGCTTGCCAAACCCAGTATATGATGCCCTGCCTTCCCACACCCCTACCAGGCAAAGTAACATTTGTTCCCGAGATCTTGCTCACTGTTACCTCTTCTGTGACTCTCACTGGTGCTACCCACCCTTCCCTCTCCAGTGCAAGCTTAGTAGTTATCTCTACTTTGCTTTTTCCAGACAACTTAGAGGAAACAAAAAATGTTTCTGTCGTTGTTGTTCATGTCCCCTACCACACCATTAGATCCTCATCTGAAGGAAGCACAGTCAGGTTAGGGTAGAGGGGCCTGGGTACAGGGAAGGAGGGCCTGCCTTGTGAAGGGGCTGGCAGCTGAGCAGGACCTTGGAGAATATGTACAGGTTTTGTAAGGGATCTCTTTGGTGGGGAGGCAAGAAAAGTGGAGGGAAGTGGTGTACCAGGGCATTGTCTTGGGAAGCTGGTGTAGTAGGGGAGGACATGCCCAAAAAAAGTAAGTATGATTTGACACCTGCACATGGCAGCTGGGGAAGCAGAAGGGGAGCTGAACAGTACTAGCACCACAGCTGAGTCCTTCTGACTTTGGGAGATGAGGTACCTAGCCTGGGAGAAGGGGAACAGGGCCTTTATGGCTGTGAGGGGCTTGCTGGACTGTGGGAATGACTTCCAGGCTGCAGAGTCTAGTGGATAGGCTGCTTCTGACCCAGGTCCCCTGGAGGTACCAGGATCTTGGAATAGGAGCCTTGTCACCCTTGATCTCGGCCTTCTCAAGGTCCACAGTCTAGATGTAGTTGGGGGGGAGGGGAGGAAGGGGGGTGTCATAGTCTTGGGGTTTTGTTTTGCATTTTTAATTCTGTAGGTTGTCCATTTCTGAAATAGGAAGAAGAGGAACAAGGAGAAGAAGATGGAGATGGGGCTGCAGGTGATCCCAAAAAGGAGAAGAAATCACTAGACTCAGATGAGAGTGAGGATGAAGAAGATGATTACCAGGTACTGAGCTTGGTGGGGACCTGAGACCTGAACGCAGTTCATTCAACAAACATTTATCAAGTGCCTGTTGATCACCAGTCCCAATGGTAGATGCAGACAGAGTCCTTGCTCGTAAGGGTTTACATAACGATGTTTTTGTCAAAGATGGACCACATATATGATGGTGGTCCCATAAGATTATAATGGAGCTGAAAATTTCCTGTCATCTGGTGACATCATAGCCGTCGTAACATCCTATCTAATAAAAGAGAAACATGGTAATTAGCTGTACAGCTGCTACCCTTCCCATTGGCTAATCAGGGAGATATGCAAATTAACTGCCAACCAAGATGGCGGCCGGCAGCCAGGCAGCTGACGCGAACAGGGAGGCTTGCTTGCTTCAGTGACGGAGGAAGCCAA